TAAGAACGTCAAACATCCAAGTAGCAAAATACCGCACAATATATCCAATACATACAACATCATGCTCTACAGTCTCGGCTACTTTACTGCTTACCGTCTACTGGCTTATAATAAGTTCAAGCATAGCTCTTACATATTTCGCTACGGGCAAACATCAATAGTCCAAAAGCTAAATCCATTCAACTATTTAATAATTACTTCACTTTTTTTTTCTTTATCAAATTTATTGAGGTTTTGCAGTCTGGTTATTTTGTGCACTTTCCTGTCTCAGGTTTGCTTCCAGTATGCTGGCTTGGATTCTAAGCCGAGCCATGGGAGCATCTGTTTCCTTCCGTGTTGGAGGATGGAAATGCTTGAGAGATGTGGTGGTGAAGTTCAACAAGGTTGTTCTTTCTTTTTCAATTTTAGCTACAATTTAGATGTGGTTTTATCTGTTTTATGCTGTGTAGTTTAAGGAACAGTTCGATCATCGATGGTCCATTAAGTTTACGTTTTTTAGTTGTACATTATCGTTTGTCAACTGCATCTGATTAAGAGAATGCTTATAGGCATTGTATGACATATCCAATCATACACCTACGACTTACAACTTTGTTTCTCGAGGCACATTATATATAATATTTCATTCTTGAAGTGTATGTAAGGGAATGTGGAGGATCAGAAGAACCAGATAATACATAATAGCAAAAAGAGCAGTGTCAACTTGGATCCAGTTTGGTCAAATGTGGGGGTGGCCAATTTCAGAGTTTAATGCCACATGTTGGGGTGATGTCATCTCTTTTTCCCGTAATGTGAACTGACCTGAAAAGGAGTCCCAGTTAGGATAGATTTTGCAAAAGAAATAGCAACAAGCATATTTATATTAGAAATTTGGCATTCTAGAGTTCCACAGATTCTTTTTGGTATCCCTTCTCAAAAAAAGTTCCACAGATTCTTTTTGGTATCTCAGGATCAGGTCTTTGAGTTCCAGTATAGAAATTTGTGTGCATTGGGATCTTTTTGTTCTCTCTCTCTCTCTCTTATTTCTTTCTCTGTGTGTGTGTCTTGTCAAAAGTAAAACTGCCATTGTAGTTACACCAAGTACCGGAAGGCACAGTGACTTGGGAGGTCCCTCATTTAGTGAATTTGCTGAAGGGAATGACTAGGCTGCAGTCAGTTTATCTTAGATTCAACTTTTGACTACTGGCTTATAAGGAAATAATTTAGTTGCAAGATTTTCTCTTTGTTCTGGTTTCTCAATTTATGATATTTGTTCTCATGTCACTGGGAATAATAATTTGCAGGGTGCAGTTGAAAGTGTATCCATTGGCGAAATTAGACTCAGTATTCGTCAATCCTTGGTCAAGCTTGGGGTTGGTTTTATGTCCAGGGATCCAAAACTACAGGTGTTAATATGTGATTTAGAAGTTGTAATGAGGGCTCCCAGTAAAATCTCAAAAAAAGCAAGATCTCGTAAATCTCGCAAGTCAGGTAGAGGGAAGTGGATGGTTGTAGCTAATATGGCTAGATTTTTGTCAGTTTCAGTGACTGAGTTGGTTGTGAAGGTAACGATTGTTCTGGTCATTAAACTTGGTCTTATGAGCGCTCATGATTGGTTGAATGTCCTTGCATCACTTTACTCATGTACCCCAAAACACTACTGGTTGTTGCTTTCAGCTCTTCTTACATTTTATGACTGTTTTGTTGGGATAATTTTTCTTCACGTACAAGTTCATATGTCGAATAACGGAGTACTGCATTGCTTCTGCTTGTGGCAGTGGTCTAAGTTCTTTTAACTTATACATGTCAGAATTGTACTGAAGGTTGATGTGTATAACATTTCCATTAAAGTATGTATTGACTTGTTATAACATACGTATATCCATGTTAACTGATAATGACAAAAGATGCCAAACTAGTGATCTATCGCATATTAATGCTACTAAAATAAATACAAACAAGATCTAATTAGCTTTAAGATTCAGATTTTCAGATTTTAGAATGTTCTTGTGTGTTCTTTCTCTCTCCCTTAAATAATTTCATATTGAGAAAAATGGAAGGAGACACATTACACTCTTCTTCAACTGTTTTGTCTTGAATATTATGAAGAATCAACAACTGAATACTTTGGGAGACTCTTCTGATAGTGGTGTTGGCAAAAATTGTATATACATGCTTATTGCTTTAGGTGCATGAAAATTATTGCACATTGACTAAATGAACTTAATGGAGGAATTAATGTCCTGCAGTTGCTTATTATCTTTGTATAGTATCTCACTGCAATGGCTAAATGAAGTTGTTCCTTGGTGGATGCTGTGTTACATTCTTAATCGCTTTTTGGTGCATTTGTTTAACTTGCTTATCTTGTTTAGTTGTCTCTCCCAGGTTTAGCATCCTTGCTGATTATCTTTTATAAACTATGCAGACACCAAAAGCTACCGTTGAGGTCAAAGAGTTGACGCTTGATTTATCTAAAGATGGTGGATCCAAGCCAGAATTATTTGTTAAGTTGCTGCTTGCTCCTATTTTTGTTCACTTTGGTGAATCACGAGTCAGTTATGATCAGTCATCAATGCATGGTGGATCTTTACCTTCCAACCATACATTACTAGGCATGACAGAGAGGGTCTCTGCTCCTTTCAGCTGTGAAGAATTTTCCATCACGTGTGAGTTTGGCCATGATAGGTATACCCTCTTTTAAATGTTTCATTTTGTTTCAATTTTTTTATGTAATTGGATTGACTTCTTCGGTAATTGACAACTCGTCCTCTCTAGTTGTTCTAATTTGACTTCTACTGTAGTCCATATATGGTGTTTCTCATTGGTATGTATTTGCTGGTAGAATTTTGTCACTTGATTCTAGCTTTTGAAACACTTGTATATTCCACACCCAAACATAACAGCATGAATCTTTGACAAGCATTTGATTTTCTAAAGCATCAGAGTTTTTCCTTCTGGAATAATCAGATGGATCATGTCTACTTCTGCATGTTCTTTTCCACCATATTTCAACTCTAAATAGGCGTAATATATCCACATCTGAACATTCGTCAGTAGGTTTGATCATGCGCTATTACAGAATCCATTCCTATTCTGTAATGAAAGTTGTATGAATTTATTTTTCAATACCTTGATCAAGATTACAACAACTACGCCTAATCCTAAACAAGTTGGGTTCGGCTATATGAATCCTCACTTCTTTCTTTAAGCTCAACTTATATCATCATCAATACCAAATAAATAAAGTGAGTGAAAAATAAGTTTTTATATATATATATATATATAATATTAATAAAAAATATTAAAAGCTCTCTAACATATTCTAAATTTACTAGCTCTGCTAATTCAAATTATGTCAGATAAATTTATTAAAACANATATGTATAATATAATAATAATAATAATAATAATAATAATAATAATAATAGTAATTAATAAGTTGTACTTAAGTTACCACCCAAACTATAACTCAAATCCCGGTTACACACTTTTGGCGAACGAAAATCACCTTACGCACTCAACCTTAATGTAGCGTTTACACACTTTTTTTATGAGGTGACCTGCGCGTGTAAGTGAGCGCGTTAAAGTTAAATAATTAGTCCAAATTTTATTTTTTCTTATTTT